CATGGCACTCATCTGTTTCTTCATCATTGAATCAACCATCAAATTCAACACGGAGAGAAAAATATTTCTATATAACTCACATTGAAAATATCAAGAAAATCCCAGAAGACCGTATACATGATTGTCAGTACTATTAGGTTCCCCCATCAAAAGCAGTATTCACACTTTTCCAGCCTAAAATAGTTGATTATATTATGGGAGACTCTATATTCTGGGTAAGATAGAAAAAATGTAAAAATATTTCTGATATGAAAAACAAGTCTCTTTTAGATTTTAGAATGGAAGCAAAGTTCTATTAATTTCATAAAAGTAATACAATCAGATACTAATGTAACAATATATCAGTTTTTGTAAAATATACATGTGTATTTAAATTTTATTGTCATTACAGGTACATTTATGTAGATGATAAATTTTAGAAAAACGAAAACTAACCAAGTGATGATCATGAAAACCATTTTATCTATTGTTGGTGAGATTACCCCTCCCCATTTCATTTCTTTTTTGCAAGGTGGGGATAATATATAAAATCAAAGAATATGGTTATTGTATATTTCATGCTATTTTCTTGTACACTAGATACGCTTTCTGACATTGATTTTCCTCTGAATATCACATTGTCATCTGTGATATGATTATGTCAAGGAAGTATTTATAAAGAACTTTATAGGCACATAATCAGTTTATACATTCAAATTTAGTCTAATATTCTTGAATGTGTATGAATCAATATATATGTAAGCTGATAACATTATGAACTGAATTTTGATCTGACAATTTCACTATAATGTTCAATTCATGTAATTAAATTCTCTTTTGAGTTAATTTCCTTTCTTGTTGATGCACATATGTTGAAAAATATTTCTATAAAATATTAAGGTGTATCAAAAGTATTATGTAATGCTTGACACATTGTATCTTTGGATGATCCTAGAATTTTTTGAAAGTTTTTTTGAATGCAAGTTTTTAGATTCTCTTTGACTTCATAATCCAAAACTGATGGTCATCTATTTGTGAGCTTTATTCCAAGGGTTAAGTCATCATCTTAAGTTGTCTAAACCTTTTTTTTTTTTTTTTCTCAATACAATCACATGTGGCTTCATAATTCTTTGTGCAGTTTCCGGTTCAGTTTAAAATGATGCCAAAAAATTGACAGAACTTCATGAAATAAAAGGTACAACTGAATAGTGTTGATAACATGATATAGTGAAGGCATAGCCTTTTGATATCTCCATGAAATAAACTTTAAAGGACTGTAAAACAAAAAAAATACATTGGATATATACTTTTATAAATACCTTCTTTCATTATAAACTTACAAACTTATTAATGTAAGTACATAATTTTTAAAATATAAATTCATTTGGATTCATTCATTTGATAAATATTAAATTGGGTGAAGTACATGAAAACTGATTTCTCACCAATAATTTTCAGTGATTAATGTAGAACTACATTGGATAAATCTGAAGGCTGGTTTAGCAGTTGGGTCCTTCATGGAAACAATAACACACAGTTTGAAAAACAGTGTGAAGAGTAATGATTTGGGTTAGTATTGCAAACAGTAAAATTATAAGTTCTTTTAGAGTTGATATGATAAATGCAGAAAATAATTTTCTTGGATGAAACATTGAGTGATATATGTTATAACCAAGAAGCTTAAAGCTAAAGAGTATAGGTTCTGTCATATTCTGCAAAGCTGATTTGCTAACTTACTTGATAACCTCTATGCTACACATATCCAAAAGAAGGAAAACCTACAAAAATTCTTTATACTTCTTTGCAAAGTATAATAATTAAAACTATACATTATGTTAAGTCATAACTTAACTTTATCTGTTAACTAGTTGTTAATTTTTTTATCATCATATACATCTCTGTTGGCTCAAGTCACTTCTTCAACTGTAAGAAAATTGTTGAACATTCACAGCCAGGAGGATTGATATTGCATAACAGCGGAGTACTCTTATCTTTGTATTCAAAGACCTTATTCTGTTAATATCTTGCTTAGTTTTTGGTGGCATCTTTCATTATTCCAATGTGTTTTTGGATTTCTGTGCCCCTTTGTTTCCATTATCTGTTAAACACAGATAAATAAATTTCTGTACTTGCTTTAAGATCCCCAATTTGTAACAGGCATCTTGGGTTGTCCCCCACCCTTTTTTCTTTTATTTTTTTTTTTATTTTTTTTTTTATTTTTATTTTTTTTCTTTATTTTACTACCTTGTTGAGGAGTTCCTACAGTTTTCTTTCTTTGGTTAAATAAACTGGTGAGAAGATACATCCTTGTCTTACTCCTCTTTCGATTTTGGTGTACTTGCTCAGTTCATCTTCTATGCAGGCAATTTGTTCCCAGTTAATGTTTTTGGATTATCCTAATATTTTCCCAAATTAAGTTTTCCTAACAGTTCAAATAGATCTTTGTATTGTATCTTCTGACATTCTTTTGTGCAGTCTATGAAACCAGCATATATACTTCTGCATTTTTATTACTTGCTTTTATAGCATTCTGATCATAAAGATCATATTTCTTGTTCCATTGTCTTCAAAAAAGTCATACTGTTCTTGCCCTATTTCTGGTTTAATTCTTTTATACACTCTATTCATATGGATGATAAGCTTTGTCATGTGGCTCATAGTCTGATGAAATTCACATTTGTTTTCTTAGGTGGCGCTATGAAGATAGAGCTACTAAGGTCTTAGTGTATGTCATCACTGTTGTATTTTTCATTTATTATTTCACTAATCTTGTCTCTCCCAAATTCTTGATAGCATCTCTATTACAATCCCATCTGGTCTTGTTACTTGCTGTTCAACTTGGTTAATGCTAATCTTGCCTCAGATTTTAATATTTGAGGTCCTTCCATGTTTTTATGTATTGCAGGTTTCCCTCTTTTATTGTGGAAGAGTCCTGTGAGGTATTCATTCCATCTTAGCAGTATTGTTTTCTCTGTTATGAATGTTTTTTTTTTTTGTTTTTTTTTAAGGATCTTGTCAAACAGCATCACATCCATTGTTATTTTTACTCATGCCTACTGCATCTATGATGCTCATTCTTTCTGTCTCTGCATTGAGCTATTCTTTTTCCTTGCTTGCATTTATTCCTAAATCTTGTGCTTAAGATTCTGTATTCTGTACCATTCCTTGGTATTGCTTGATGTTTCTTAATTTCTTCTGTCATCCACTCCTTTTTATTTATTTTTTTTTCTTGTCTCTCCTTAAGAGGATCTTGTTTGCTGATGTCACAAGAGCTTCCCTTAAAATGTTACACTTTGAATTTCTGGTTTCATCTGTGCTATTCAATTTTCTCTTAACCCTATTAGCATATGTCTCTTTGCAAGTTGAGCCATCTTGGAGTCTGCCATATTGGAGTTACAGAGTTGCTTTGGATTTGTTTGATTTCTTTAATCTTAGTCTGATTTTGCATAAGATGGGAACATGGTCACTTCTACAGTCATCACTTAGATTTTACTGTGTAGAACTACATCAATAAGAGTAGATATATTTTAATATTTTATTTTCTTTCTTTCTTTTTATTTAATTTCTTAAATTAGACCAAAGCTAAGATAAAACATAAAACCATTTGATAAATTGTGACAGAAACATAAGTTTAACTGAAAATTTGAGTTTGCTTATTAATTGAAATATTTATCTGTAGTTATAAAGATTAAAAGCACTTTTGAGATCTGTGAGATGAAAATAAAGTTAAAAGGCAATTTTAAAATTTAATAGCTGGTACTGCAAAAAAGTAGGAAAGCAATTTAGTATATCATATTTCTCAAAATGTATTTAAGTGAAAAATACAATTTATACTTGTTGTGTCAGAACTGTTTTATCACCATTTTTTTATCAATGGCAAATCTAATATAAATATGATGCAAATTTTAATTATAGATCATTGAATTATCTTAAATAAAGATATCCAACCTAATACTAACATTTAAGGAAATGAACATGACCTACTGCCAATCATTACACCTATACAACATAGTGTCTCACCTACACACTCTTAAGTATTTATTTCTTCCCATCAATTGTCTTTTTCTTCTGTTCATTTTTAATCTTTAAACTCTACTAGTAATTTACATGCATTACATAATCTTGTATTGTTTCTTTTTAAAATAAAATATAAAATAGTCTTTATTTTTAAATTTTTAGTCTTATTTTGAACAGTTGTTCAAATGGACTAATAAACTATAGGCCACATATTACAATAGAATGAAAAAACTTTTGTGAGAATGATTTTTTTTTAATTTGGATAGAAAAAAGTATGAAATCTCAAGAGACACTTCTCTTAATGTAAAAGTGTCTCAAAATTAATTGAACCGTAAGAAATGTTTGATTAAAAACTTAGCAGTTCCCAGGAAGTGATCTTATCAGTGTGCTAGAGCCACTCTTATAGTCTTCAAATCCATTGCAGGTGAAATGTGCTGTGAGTTGAAAATAGGCAGAGAGAAAAAAAGAAAAATGAAATGCATTTGTAGGAGGAATTGTTATGAAGACCTAGACTTGTGCTAATTAAGTTATGTATGTAGGTCAATTTAATCTTGATAACTTCTGACCACTACTTGAAGATTTCTCCAATAACAGTATGAAATGATAACCTCACTATCTGCATTGAGCATAGACTATACAATGTGATTCATTGTTCCAGCTTCTCCAGCAACAGTCTACTTTGGAAGTCTAGCTGGGTTGTTTTTTTAAAATCCTTTTTGTGTTTATCCACCCCCAGTGATTAACATCATAGATAACTACAAGGTGTTGTTTTTTTTTACTGACTTTGAGTATTTGTTGTGCCTCAAATAACAATTCATTCACTAGAGGATAGGCATATTTTTATTTTCATTTTTAGTAATTATTACCACTAATTATTAAATATTGATAAATTGCAGTTATTTAAGAATTTATTTATTACTTCTACTATCTTTCTGAATTAACATCAAAACTTTTTTTCAGACAATGGAACTTTTTCTGTGAGTTGTTGGTGCTGTAACCACAAGATCAATTTTTCTATATTCCTCATAAATAAAGTGGAAGCTCACTCTCTCTCTCCCTCTCTTCTCTCTCATTCTCTCCCTCTCTTCTCTCTCATTCTCTCCCTCTCTTCTCTCTCTTTCCCTCTCTCTCTCTTTCCCTCTCTCTCTCTTTCCCTCTCTCTCTCTTTCCCTCTCTCTCTCTTTCCCTCTCTCTCTCTTTCCCTCTCTCTCTCTTTCCCTCTCTCTCTCTTTCCCTCTCCTCTCTCTCTTTCTATCTCTCTTTCTATTTCTATCTCTTTCTCTTCTCTATCTCTCTTCTCTCTCTCTCTCTCTCTCTGTGTTTGTTTGTCATAGGTTGGTCTACAAAAGATTCACAACTGGTATTCACATTTGTTTCTAACTATGTAACTCTGATGATTCTAATTGATATTAGGGCAAGAGGTACTCAAACCCTCTTTATCAATAAAATCAACAGCATAAAAAGAACTTGTTTAATTTCAGATTTTTTAAAATCCTTTCACCCCAAACCAGGCAATAAAAGCCACTAAGATGCAAGTGGTTACTGAGACTGAAAGAAACAGAGAGGGCAATAAAAGAATAGGATTCAAGGAGACGGAAGATGATGATTGACTTTGCGTTTACATTTTTGAAGATCATAGTTGGCAGGAAGCTGGAAGAGAGTTCCACAAGGGAAAAGAAACAATTACCAAAGAACTTGTGTTTACAACAAGCAATTTCATTAGTGAAATTATGAGCCATCATTGCCAATCTAGTACTTTGCTTAAATTTGTAAAGGTTCCAATGAGGAAAATTCATCAGAACAATCAGTTGAATTTTAATGTAGACATGAATAAACTATAGAAAGAGGAGTTATCTATGGATGATATGTAAAATTCTGAAAGTGCAACCTTAAAATGGAAATAAAGAAAATTATTGGCAAATACAGAACCTTGACTCATTCATCATTTCAGACTGTATAAATTTATAAACCTATTATTTATGCCGACTGTAAAATCTGGTCCTAATTATAAAAATAAAAATCTGGTATCTATAACTAATTAATAGGTTAGGTATACTCCAAAATACTTGTAAAATGGTAATGAGCCTTGATCCTGTGATAACATTCATTACAACTCATTGATTCTAGTTTATGAATATATTCAAGTAAAATAAGATAAAAGTACTTATTAAACTGACAACAATTTTCTTGATAAACTCATCTGTTATTCCTGATAATTTCAAATACCTATTCATAATTTTATCTGAATTAAGACACGTGAAGTTGGTGTAATGGTTAGCAATACAGAAAATGGGATCAATTTTAAGATTTCAAATTCTGAATGAGGTAGTTTATATTAATTTTGCAGTAATCCTAATTGGTCAGGGTTTGTTGCTGGAGCCACGTAATCCAGTATATATAACCTGTTGTATGTTACTTGGGAAGTAGAATGGTGCCATCAAGTAAGAAGTACTATGAAGCTACCCAATAGTCATGGAATAATTTTATTTTGATTGAATGACATTTGCATAAAAAAGTACAATAACAGACATATCTACCACAGTCTCATAATAATCCTTACATTTAATGTATGCAGATGTAATAACAATTATGGGACAGTTAATAAAGAAAATGCAAATAAAAAGGAAACTTATACTTAACATCGAGCAGAGGCAGTTGAAATTTCTGGAGCATGTAATGAAGAAGGAGGGCTTGGAAAACCTGATACCCACAGGATTGAGGGAAAGAAGAAAGCAGGACGGATCCTGCTTGATGAACTTGAGTAAATGGATGATAGAACAGGGTTTAGGAGAATAACAAAAAGACAAACCTTATTAAGAGCTACAAAGGACAGGAAGATGTGGCGGGCCATGATCGCCTACGTCCTGAAGGGATATGATACATAAAAGTAAAAATACTAGTGTTTATTCTTTTTAATATTTAAAAAAAATTTGTTAATGTTTTAAAAACTTTCAGAGTGGCATTTTGAAAACATTTAGCACAAACCCAAAACCAAAATTAGTATAGTCATGTGGGGACTACTATATTTTTTTAACTTTTAATAAATACTTTGTAAAAGAATGTTAGGTATGAAAGTTTTTTTGTTTTTTTTTTTTTTCTTCCGTTAATCACATATTCAGTCTTTGGTATTCTCAGCATCCTTCTGTAGAGCCACATTTCTATTGTTTCACGTCTCTTCATCTGTGAAGCTTCTCTAGCATTCACTGCAATATAGGAGGACTGATATTGCATAACAGTTCAGTACTCATTTCTCAGTTTCTAATGAAATTTTCCTCTTCCTTAATACTTTGTTTATGTTGCATTGCAGCTCAGATCAGACACCAAGTTTGTTCACAGGGTTTAGTTTCTTCTAGTCAAAAACTTATAGCTTAAAAATTACCCTTCGGCCAGATCGTTATCCACGAGTGAAGAACAAAACAATTTCTAGCAGTAAACCAGATTTTATTCTTGGGTAGTAACTTACTGCTATAAGCCAGCTAAGTAAAGATGAGGTGTAAGTGGTAGGGGCACAGTTCAGTGGCTGTCTACTCTGCCAGTTCTGCAAGGCTCACCTCCTTCCTTCTGTGTGCCTTCACCCTCCCACCACCAAGATGGACAGTTTTATAGATAACAATTTTCTCCATCTTCAATTCATTTTTGTCTAAAAAAATAATTTATCTTCCTTCCATGACTTTCTCTCAGTTTGAGTCTCTTGCTCTGTACTTTGAAGTTGAGTTTACTTACTGATAGTCAAAAGTAAATGTTCCATGTTGAATTTTACGACAGGTCCCGCTGTTTTTCAATTTAGCAAGATCTTAGCTGACTGTACTTAGTTTTTGGATGGCATCTTTCACTATTCCAATACACCTTTGGATTTCAGGGTTACATTTTCTATTCTCTGTTAAAAGACTTAATTTAATTTTTGTATGTGCTTAATTTTGGTGTTTCCAATTCATAGTTTGCATCTTTGACTATTTCTGTTTCTGACAACTATACATTCTGTCTTAACTGGTATCCTTGTTTTAGGATACACACTCCAATGATTCCATCTCTAATATAATTTAAGAACATTTGATCTAAGGTTTGTTGTTTTAAGAGAAAAGGGAAAGACCCAAGGATAAAATAATCAATTGCAAGAGAGAAAGAAAACCGGAAAATACTAACTATAAAAATGAAAAAATAAAATGGATTTAGCAAACATTTCATTCATATTATTCATTCATTAGCAAATATTTCATTCATAAATTCTGTAGATTTATAAATTCACAATTTATGAATAAAATATTCTTATGTGGTGGGTGGTATATTTCATGAATATTTTAGTTTAGGAAAAAGAAAACCCTATTTGGTCACCAGGAATCAATAGAAATTACATTGTCTTCTAGAGAATTAATGGATTTATTTTTTTATTACTTCAAACATTATTATAGTGGATACTTTGTATTTGAAATCGGTGCCCCATTTTATTTATTAAATACTGTTTAATAAATAAAAACTGAGTATCAATTTTAAATACAAAGTAAATACTATAATAACGTTTGAAGTAATAAAAATTGTCTTTATTTCAAAAATATAGCTTAAATGAGACATTCTTTTTATTTCCATGATACAGGGAGCAAAATAACATTGTTTGATAGAGCAAATTTTCTATTGCAAAATACCTTTATTTTTCTTCTCCATATAGTTACCACCATTGGCTATGCATTTCCATTTGCAATGAACATGAACCTGTATAAAAAATCTGCACCTGCAGAACCAAACACACATGCCAAAATGCATTACTTATTGCCCAACTGTAATCACATTCAGTTTAGTTTTCATAAATGTTCAGCAAACATTGATGAATTCCACTGGGTGGAAATTCTTTGGCATGGGAGAATTCAATGATACACTTCTACTTTGTATGCATTTTCATGTTGGACTATTGGTTATTAGCAGGGAAGTTCAACCTGTACTACTATGCCACAAATGCCTGTGAAATAATATGAGGCATTACCTTTGGAGTAATATGGTCAAGAAAAATTTTATTTCACATAATATGGTCAAGAAAAATTTCACGTAATATGGTCAAGAAAAATTTAAATTTAAAAGTCCTGAAAAACAAAACTCAAGCATAGTTTTAGATTTTTCTAAAATTTTTCAATATGGAAAAGTACAAGTGGATGTTAGTGTTCTTGGCCTTACGAAGAAAGGATTTTAAAAAAATATCTGATTTGGTCAGATTTTAAAATGTGGGTTGGTACATTTTTGGAACCTCTTCATGCTTTCCTACACATGAACTGAGTCTTATGAATTATAACAATACTTATTGGTAGAAATGACTTTGTACAACAGTAGAAAATATAATTGTAACTATATGACTAATCATTGGAAATTAGAACTTTTGATATTTATCAACCAAACAGTTTATTTCTTTTTAAGAAATTTTTACTGTTTTGATCTAACAAAAAATGTCAGCTTAAAAGATTAGAAAAATGAAATAGTTCAGCCTGCAAGTTTCTTGAAATTCACTGCTTTTATTTTTCTCTTTTTTTTTTCTTCTTTTTTTTCTTTTTTTAAAATCTGTCTCTATATTTTACATTAATCAAATCCTGTGTATATTAATCAAATAATTTTCTTCATACATTTATTTGCTTCTAGTTTAGCCACTACAAAAAGCTTTCCAACTGTTAATAAATTAGATTAAAATTCATATCCTGGGATAAGATGTTCATGTTACATGGCCAAAAGTAGACATTTTGATTTTGAGCCTTTCAACCATTTTTATAATAAAAAAAAAGTAAACTTCTCAGACAATAAAAACAAATACATAAACTAATTGAAGTAGACTTTTCTATCTTTAGAAAGTTTTGTACTTAAATTTAAATAGTATAAAAGCTGACATGTGTAAATTGAGAAATAATAATTTTCTTTTTATTTTTTTTTCTTCTGTTTTTTTTCATTTACCCTTATTTTTATTTCTATATTTTTGTTTCCCACCTTCCTTTAAGCTATTTTACATTTTCTTTCTTTCAAATTCCTTTCCCACCAACTCGTCTTTTATATTCTCTAACTTCTTTTCTTTAGTTTATCTTCCTTTTTTTTTTTATTATTTTTTGTTTTCCTATTTTTTGTATTATTTCTTTTAACTTCCTTTTTCCATTTAACAATTTGTTTTTTTTTTTACCTCCTGTTGTTGCTATAACAAATAAATAGAAAAAAAGGAAAATGCTTAATTATTTTTTTTTAAACTCACTTTTTACAGCTTCCATTTTTTTGTTTCTGATAAACTATCTGGCAATAATTCAGTACTATTTTAAGTAATTTTGGTAACTGCCAGCTAGGACATACTACAAGATAA